CTGATGGTCCCCCCTGTCCCCCCCCCCAGAGCCCCACTTCGTGCAGGCGCTGCCCTACGGCCCCTACATCTACTTCTTCTTCAGGGAGGTGGCGGTGGAGCTCAGCGCCCTGGGCAAGGTGGGCACGGGGAGGGGGTGGCACGGGGTTGGGGGGGGACACCCATGGGTGCCCACACCCCCCGGCATCGGGGTGGGGAGACCCCAGCACCCCTCCCCAGGGTGTCTGTGGGTGCCCCCTGGGTGCCAGCCCAAGGTGCCAATGGCCCTGGGTGACAGTGCTGGTGCCCGTGGGACCCCGGGTGGTGATGTCTGTGGGTCCCGGGGGGGTGACACCCATGGGTGCCCATGTGCCGATGCCCACGGGTCCCTGGGAGGTGACACCTGTGGATCCTGGGGTGGTGGCACCCATGGGTGGCCAGGGGACAATGCCCATGGGCCCCGGGGTGCCAATATCTGTGGGTCCCAGGGAGGTGACATCCATGGGTGCCCTTGTGCCAATGTCCCTGGGTCCCTCATAGTGACACCCATGGGGGCCCAGGGGATGATGCCTCTGTGGGCCTTGGGTTCCAACAGCCATGGATTCCTGGGTGGTGACATCCATGGGTGCCCTTGTGCCAATGTCCCTGGGTCCCTCATAGTGACACCCATGGGTGCCCAGGGGATGATGCCTCTGTGGGTCTTGGGTTCCAACAGCCATGGATTCCTGGGTGGTGACATCCATGGGTGCCCTTGTGCCAATGTCTGTGGGTCCTGGGGTGGTGGCACCTGTGGGTGCCCAGGTGCCAGTGACCATGGGTTCCTGGGTGGTGACATCCATGGGTGCCCTTGTGCCAATGTCCTTGGGTCCCTCATAGTGACACCCATGGGTGCCCAGGGGACGATGCCTCTGTGGGTCTTGGGTTCCAACAGCCATGGATTCCTGGGAGGTGACATCCATGGGTGCCCTTGTGCCAATGTCTGTGGGTCCTGGGGTGGTGGCACCTGTGGGTGCCCAGGTGCCAGTGACCATGGGTTCCTGGGTGGTGACATCCATGGGTGCCCTTGTGCCAATGTCCCTGGGTCCCTCATAGTGACACCCATGGGTGCCCAGGGGACGATGCCTCTGTGGGTCTTGGGTTCCAACAGCCATGGATTCCTGGGAGGTGACATCCATGGGTGCCCTTGTGCCAATGTCTGTGGGTCCTTTGTGGTGACACCTATGGGTGCCCTTGTGGTGACACCCATGGGTGCCCAGGTGCTGATGCTTGTGGGTTCCTGGGTGGCGATGCCTGTGGGTCCATGACTGGTGACACCCATGGGTGCCCAGGGGATGATGCCCATGGGTCCCGGGGTGGTGGCACCCATAGGTCCCGGGGCGGTGACACCCATGGGTGCCCAGGGGATGATGCCCATGGGTCCCGGGGTGGTGGCACCCATAGGTCCCGGGGCGGTGACACCCATGGGTGCCCATGTGCCGATGCCCATGGGTCCTTGGGAGGTGACACCTGCGGATCCTGGGGTGGTGACATCCATGGGTGCCCTGGGGACGATGCCCATGGGTCCTGGGGTGGTGGCACCCATAGGTCCCAGGGTGGTGACACCCATGGGTGCCCTGGGGACGATGCCCGTGGGTCCCGGGGTGGTGGCACCCCTGGGTGCCGGGTGCTGACGCCCGTGGGTGCTGGCGCAGATGGTGGTGGCGCGGGTGGCCCGCGTTTGCCGTAACGACCGGGGGGGCTCCCCGCGGGTGCTGGAGCGGCGCTGGACGTCCTTCCTGAAGGTGCGGCTGCAGTGCTCCGTCCCGGGCGACGCCGTCTTCTACTTCGATGTCCTGGAGGCCGTGACGCCCCCCCGGCCCCTGCACGGGCGCCCCGCCGTCCTCGCCCTCTTCGGCACCCAGCCCAACAGGCACGGCAGGGGGGGGGACAGGGACAGGGGGGACGTGGGGATGAAGGTGATTTGAGTGTGGGGACGCATTTGGCCAAGGGGACGTGGGGCAGGGGAGCGGGACGTGGGGACATGGGAGATGGAGACGTGGGGATGTGCTCACACGGGGACACAGAAGATGGGGACTTGGGGACACGAGAGGGACAGACATGGGGACATGGGAGATGGGGACATGACAGGGACAGACATGGGGACACAGGAGATGGGGGGACAGGGACTTAAGAGGGACAGACATGGGGACATGGGGATGAACTCCCATGGGGACATGGAAGATGGGGATGTGGGACATGGGAGGGACAAACACAGGGACTTGGAGATGGACTCACAGTGGGACATGGGGACATGGGAGATGGGGACATGACAGGGACAGACATGGGGACACGGGAGATGGGGACGTGGGGACATGGAAGGGACAGACATGGGGACATGGGAGATGGGGACATGGGAGGGACAGACATGGGACATGGAGGTGGGGACATGACAGGGACAGACATGGGGACACGGGAGATGGGGAGACAGGGACTTGAGAGGGACAGACATGGGGACATGGGGTTGAACTCCCACGGGGACATGGGAGATGGGGACGTGGGGACATGGAGGTGGGCTCACGTGGGGACACGGGAGATGGGGACACGGGGACAGACTCACAGGGGACACAGCAGGAACAGGGCTTGTGGGGACACAGTGGGGACCGAGAGGGGCTCTGGCCGAGCCGACAGCCCCGGGAGGGGACGGGGGTGTCCCTGAGGCCGATGTCCCCCCCCGCTGCCCCCACAGCATCCCCGGCTCGGCCGTCTGCGCCTTCTACCTGGCGGACGTGGAGCGGGCCTTCGAGGGGCCCTTCGCCGAGCCCCGCGGGGCCACCTGGACCCCGGTGCCGGAGGAGAGGGTGCCCCAACCCAGGTAACCCCCAAAAACACCCAAACACGGGGATTTCCCCCCAAAAAACACCCAGACACGGGGATTTCCCCCCAAAAAACACCCGGACGTGTCCCCCCCTCAACCCTGTCTCAGGCCGGGCTGCTGCGCCGGGATGGGACCGGCCACCGGCGTCGTCACCTCCGGGGACTTCCCCGACGAGACCTTGTCCTTCGCCAAGGAGCACCCGCTGCTGCACGGCGCCGTGGCACCCGCCGGCGGGCGGCCCCTCTTCACACGCACCGGCACCAGGTGCCCCCCCTGGGGTGGGGGGACAAGGGGACCCCCCCTGGGTGGCCTCGGGGACAGGGGGTGGCTCGTGCGAGGTGGGCGAGGGGGTGCAAAGGGGTGGGGAAGGTCCTCGTGCGAGGCTCTTGTGCAAGGGTGAGTGAGGCCCTGGGGTGAGGCCCCGGTGTGAGTGACCTGTGCGAGGCCTCGTGCAAGGCCCTGTGTAAAATGGGTGTGAGGAGGGTGCAAGGAGGGTGTGAGGCCCCATGTAAGCAGGATGCAAGGCCCCATGCAAGGTGGGTGCAAGGAGTGTGCAAGGCCCCGTGTGAGACCCTGTGCAAAGCTCCATGCAAGGAGGGTGCAAGGCCTGGTGTGAGGAGGGTGTGAGGCCCTGTGCAAAGCTCCGTGTGAGGTGGGTGCAAGGTGGGTGCGAGGCTCCGTGTGAGCTCCTGTGCAAAGCCCCGTGTGAGGCCCCGTGCAAGGTGTGAGGCCACACGTGAGCAGGGTGCAAGGTGGGTGTGAGGATGGTGCAAGGCCCTGTGCAAGGCAGGTGTGAGGAGAGTGTGAGGCCCTGTGCAAGGTGGGTATGAGGCCACATGTGAGCAAGGTGGGTGTGAGGAGGGTGCAAGACCCCGTGTGAGGCAGGTGTGAGGAGAGAGCGAGGCCCTGTGCAAGGTGGGAATGAGGCCACACGTGAGTAGAGTGCAAGGTGGGTGCGAGGAGGATGCAAGACCCTGTGCAAGGCAGGTGTGAGCAGAGTGTGAGGCCCCGTGCAAGGTGCGTATGAGGCCACATGTGAGCAGGGTGCGAGGCCCCGTGTGAGGAGGGTGCAAGGCAGGTGTGAGGAGAGTGCGAGGCCCCGTGCGAGGCGGGTATGAGGCCACATGTGAGGAGAGTGCAAGGTGGGTGTGAGGATGGTACAAGGCCCTGTGCGAGGCGGGTGTGAGCAGAGCGTGAGGCCCCGTGCGAGGCCCTGTGTGAGCAGGGTGTGAGCCCCTGTGCAAAGCCCCGTGTGAGGAGAGTGTGGGGCCCCGTGCAAGGCCTTGTGCGAGGCCCCGTGCAAGGCCCCATGTGAGGCAGGTGTGAGGCCTCGTGCAAGGCCCCGTGCGAGGTGTGTGCTGGGCGCAGGCTGACGCAGCTGGCGGTGGACACGGGCGCGGGGCCGCGGGGGAACCAGACCGTGCTGTTCCTGGGCGCCGAGGACGGGCGGGTGCTGAAGGTCCTGGCGGCCGCGCGGCAACCGGGGCCCCCCCGGCCCCACGGTGTCACCCCGGCCCCCGGGGACGGGCAGGGGCTGGGGGGCAGCGGGGACACTGGCCCCGAGACCCTGCTGCTGGAGGAGATCAGCCTCTACGACCCCGGGCGGTGGGTGCCAGGAGCTGGGGGGGGCACCTTGGGGGCTGGGGGGGCTGGTGGGCACCTTGGGGTGTGGGGTTCATGGGTGCTGGGGGGGCTGATGGGTGCTG